TCCATTTTGTTAAGGTAATGGGCTGAACCTTATACCTTATTTTATGGCCGAATGCAAAGCTTTATTTTCAGTTTCTTTTTTAAAAAGTAAAAGTGCATGCTTGATCCTAGTTGTCAACGAAGAAGATAATGAGTAGGATAATGAGTTCGTTTAATGTGATGGTTGGCCGTCTATGTGCTCTGTTTTTCCTGAGCCTTATTTTTATGTAAAGCATGTTAAATATGTGTATCTTATTGAGTTTAGTATCAGATTTTAAGGCTCCTATCATGTGTTGTTGAGTATGAGGAAAAGGAAAGGAAAATGAGGCAAGACTGTTTATTATCTATGAGCTATTGTAGGTTTTGTTGCTGTGGCTTATTTTTGTGCATTAACATGCTATTAAGGTGCTGAAGTTTGGAGTTTTATACTCTATTGTTAGGACTTGTTACTTAAAGTTAAAATTGTGCTTAGTGGTTATTGGTTGGAATACAACCTATTGCCTTTTGTTAGATTTATGAAATATTTGACTTTGTATGCTTGGTTTGTGAAAATGTTTTCATTTTTTTTTATTTTTTTTTTATTTTTTTTTTCGTGAGATTAAATGTCAGGTTAGGTTGTAAGAAAGCCTGGTACTCATATTTTGTTGATATATGAATCATATCTATGTAAAGAAATACTAAGAGGGGTGGTGATTTTTCATTTACTTATGTTTCTGTTTTGCACATGGTTTAGTTATTATCTATTTTCCCTGATAAGTGTTCATATGTTTTTATTATATCTTACAAATTATTTGGACTTACTAGTAGTGCATACCGTAATAAATTTTTTTGACTAAATCCTGTGGAAAGTGCATGCCTCTTACATAACAGAAATTCCCATAATTTGAAGGAAGATATTTATTGATCCTGCAAATGTATACTTCCTTATTGTGCAGCCCTATTTCTACAGTCCTGACTTTGAAAAATTCATGAGTTATCCCGGGCCTTAGAATCTGATTGAAAATCCGAGCCGAGCAAAGAAATCAAGAAAAGAAGTTACAAGATTTCTGTGTTTACCTGCTTTATGTGATTGATGTATGTGCTCTTATCTGATGTACGTGCCTTATGTGATTTAATTGTTTATTTTGGTATTTAATGAAAATCCCTAATAATAAGATTTAATAATCAAAATTCAGATTTAGAGGAGTCGAGCCCTCATTCAGACGCACGTGCATTTTTATCCAGTCAGTAAGTTCAAAAGGTGGGAATTTTCCATGCTATGTTCTAATTCTTAATAAACGCAAGGTATTTATAGCTGAGGTATGTCTATAAGTATTTTGCCTATGAGTGGGCATTGCCCGCGAGTGGGTTCGAGGACAGGATCTCCCATCGTGTGGGTCAGCGTTCCCGGTGGTGAGGTGTAAACCCGAGATCGGTTTGCCGTGTCGTGTGGGTTAGCGTTCCCGGCCGGTAAACCAATAGATGAGCCATGTTATGAGACCATGTTTTACTTATTTATATGCCAGTGTTATCGGTACCTGTTTTTATCATGAATAATTGCATAGTATGGATTATTGATGAGCACGTTGATTATTGCTCAGCCCCCACAATTATCATTTTCAGGTTAGCATGTCGGGCGGGACTCAAGAGGGGCTCGTGGTGGTCATATTCAGTTTATTTATTGCTTCCGCTATTGAACAATTTATTTTCCGAACATATGATTATCAGCTATATTGAACATTGTTGGATTCCAGTTTCAGTTTTTCAATTCATTTA